AGGTAGAAAACCCTCCCTCACTCTAAGGCAAGAGAAATAATTCTTATTAATTCTTATTTCCCTGTAGTGAATTTATGGGTTTTTGTTTTTGTTTTTTTTTTTTACATTCAAGCCTCAATTCCCTGGGAATTTATCCTTTTGTTCACATTTTTACTCTTTTTTTTTCTTTCACACTTTTACTCTTAATTAGTGCATCATGCTGCTGTATTTGGGAAGGTTGCTATATGGGTCAGATATGCCAGGTAACAAATATCTCCCACATCCTCCTGGCTTCTGACAAGATTTCTTCTGTCAAGCTCATGCTTCCTGTCCATGGTACTCAGCACAAGCTCTGCTCCACCTCAGCTTGACTTTCAGACCAGACTGATAAAGCAATGTCACAGCAACTCACTGGCCTCACACAGAAGAGCACCCACAGCCATGCACACAGCTTCTGACAGCCTCCTCTCAGAGGGCACACACGGGCCTTCCACTCACACCTCTCTGACCCAAGTGAGCCGCACAACAACCCTGTGTCATCGGCAGAGGAAAGGACACCTGGCACTTGAGGAGTCCCATATTTGGGGACAATGCCTATGCCCTGCTCTTGGTTAATATGCCACTTTGGGAAAGAACGCACAAAGAGACTGGGACCCCCTCACACCAGCAAGGGCAGAAGCATCATCGCCAGCCTGTGATTAGCTGTGTCAGTAGGGTGCCCCGTGGGTCATCATTCCAATGTAGAAGCTAGCTGACACTTTTGCTACCCATATTAGGTTGGGCTTAGCAGCCCTTGACAGTGGCAACTATGGCAGGATGTTATCTGAAGTGATCAGAGGCCAGAGAGAAACATGGAACGCAATCAGGTAAAAAGATAATGATCTATTGCTTTGTAACAAACCATCCCCAAAATCATGGCTTCAAATCACAGCCATGTTACTGGCCCATGAGTACATAGGTCAGTAATTGAGGCTGGCTCAGTAGGGTGATTCTTCTGTTCACCAGGCATTTGTGTGACTGCAGGCAGCTGGCTGGCTTGCCCAGGGGCTGGTCAAGGTGGGGGATCACACCTGAGATGGCTCACTGGGTTCATAAGGTGCTTTTGTTCTGCAGGTGGTGGCTGACTCCCCACAGAGGCAAGCTGAAAGGGTGACTGCTTTTCAGGCCTCCTTGCACCACATTTGCTAATGTTCCAGTGGCCTAACCCAGGGTCAGTGTGTGACATGTCCTGCGACTCTCACAGGTAGAATTTGCTGGTGGAAGGTAAGTTCCAGAAGCAGTGAGATCTTTGTTATTTTCACTGTGATCTCATGCAAGCAGGCCTGAGGAAGCTCATATTATCGACCTTGAACAAATCCCTTCATCTCTGAGACTCAGCTTCCCACTTGGACAACTCACCCCCATAGGGCTACAGCAAGGGTCACCTACATCCAGAGCCTTCTGCCGGCACCTCAGTGGACACCCTCCTCGTCACTAGGGAGAACTTTGACTGGTAACTGGGCTGCTAAAGTATTTTTTTTAATTCACGAGACCTTTGGTTCCAGATGCATCAAGTTAGTTTCTGTCTCTGCCTCTGTCTTTCTCCCCAAGATCAACAGGGATAAAACAGATTTTAGACTTGTTTCCCATGTCTGCTTTATCCCTTGTCTTAATCTATTTCACATGCAATTTGTTCTCTCCTGCTGCTAAAAGACCAGGGCCGCTCATAAGGCATCTTCTCCATAAAGGGCTTGATGGATCACCCCCAAGTTGATCCCTGCTCACCCATCCATCAAACATTCCCCAGTCCTCTTTCTGTGTCTGGCATGGTATAGGGCCTGGTGACACAAAGATGAATGAGGCTACGTAGTTTTGATTCTCCAGGAGCTCACAGACGCAGGAGGAGATGGAAGCATGAGCAGGAAGACGTCCTCACGTCGTGAGCTGAGACAGAAAGATGTGCATTTATCCAACAAACGCGTAATGATCTGTCACTTTCTGTTGTTGCATGTGTCTTCTGCTGGTGCGAAATACAGAAATGAATGGGGGGCCTTTTCTATTTGTAACAGGTGTCCAGTGCGGGAGTCAGACAAGTCAGCAGCCACATTTGGGGGTCACGGCAGTGGGGACGCGCTCACAAATCGAGGTATCAGGGCGTTCACCTGCCAGCCTGGAGCGGTCTGGGGAAGCTCCCCATGGAATTTATAGCAAAGAAGAAAAATACAGGAGATGGATTCCAGAGAGGGCGTAACAGGACACAGCAGGACAGCCTGAGGGAGCGAGGCACCTTGGAGCAGCCCTCAGCTGGTCTGGTCCACAGGGACAGGGGGCGGGTGGGGGACGCAAAATCTGGAGGGGAAGACAGTGCACAGGCTGGGGACGTTCATCTGCTTCGGCAGGGAAGATGTCTGATCAGAAGAGCATTGTCGAAAAATCACTCTAGCTCTTCCGGCTCAGGGGGGCTGGGGAGCCGCGGGCTTTGGTGCAGACGAGGCCAAATCCAAGAGCCACACCCCCACAACCATCCCGAAGCGGGCGCAGACATGGCCTCGAGAAACCCCCATCTCAAAGACATGACTCTCTCAAGAGTGGATCCCAAGTTCCTAAGGAGCAGGCGGTTTGCCAACAGGCGCCTGAAGAAGGTGCAGGATGGACATCAACGCTGGGGCCATGGTGCACGTGCCCTTGTGAAGACCAGGGCGGTCAGGGCTAACACCCCGAAGGGCAGCCGCCGCAAGCTCGGCCCACTTGCCTACTTTGCTCACCCCAAGCTTGGGGACACGCACCAGCCCACATCGCCAAGCATCTCAGCCTGTCCCGGCCAAAGGCCGAGGCTTGACCCCAGGCCGAGGGGGTGGCTGCCACCCAGGTGCCCAACAGAACACAGGCTGCTCAGGGGGCCCCGGCCCCCACAAAAGTCCGGAATAGAGACCCCTGTCTGGCCACTGCAGGACAGCGGGACTGGTGCCCGCCCCGGGCCTCCTGTGCTGTTTGTACAAATAAATCTGAAGCAGAACCAGAAGAAAAGCAAACTCACTCTGGCCTAAGTGGGCAGATTGGCACATGCAAGGGACAGACGGTGTGCGCCACGGGAAGGCACGCAGAGAGATAGGAGATGATTTGTTTCAAACAGAAGTGTTTGAGTGGCATTCAAGTGGGGTTGAATTAGCAATTCTACTGGGGACAGACAGAAGGGGAGCATTTGGGAGACGCAAAGGCCTGGCAGGAATGCATCATCATCCGTATAAAACAGTCATTTGGGCCCTCCCTGGTGGCACAGCGGGTTAAAGCACAGCACTGAGAAGCTAAAACCACTTCCGCATGAGTTCGATCCCCGCCTGCCCGGGAGGTGACCACATGGCGCAGCAGACCTCTCCTGACCCGCCCGCTGCTCCCCTCAGCAGTGTACTTCATAGATCTGCCTGTTCTGCTCCCCTCTCTGTCTCTCTCGCCGCCCCTGAGCCTCTGGCCTGAACCCCAGTTCTGTATGCACAAATAAATCTTAAAAAAAAAAAAAATAGTCATTTGTTGAAGCCTCAGTCCCAGGACTCCAAGTGAGGCCATCTGTGGGCACAGTGGCTTGGAAGACGCGAGTTCAAGCCCTTCGGTGTCATCAGATCCCGAAGCTCCAGGCTCATAATCCAGTATGACAGTGTCTTCAGGAGAAATGGAGCCGTGGACAGAGAGGCAGGCGAAGGCCAGGTGAGGACCGGGGAGAAGACGGCCAAGGACACGCCGAGGAGAGAAGCTCAGCACAAGCCCATCTGCAACTGTGCAAACGCAAGACCTCAGGTGGGGGGGAGCGCGGAGAGGGGAGCGCAGGGCCGGGGGCTGCGGGTCACACCTGACTGAGCGGCCTCGGGAGACAGTGCAGCCGCTGTGCCACTCTGCGGCCCCCAGGAGAGCAGGGCAGTGCCTCCAAGCAGCAGTGACCCGGCTGGGGCCTGTGGGGCGGTGGGGCCAGGGCCCGGGCTTCCGCGGAGGAGCAGCTGAGCAGAGAAACGGACAGGTCCCTCTGCCTCATGTGCCGGAGAAGCAAAGGCAGCCGCAGAGCCGCGCCTGGGGCTGCAGAAAGCCGCCAGCCGGGACCGGGCAGGGACCCCGAGCACGGGGGTCTACAGATGCCCCGGAGCGCTCGACACCCGGAGTCGTGTTGCAGAGACACTGGCTGTTCCTGCCTCTCAGCGCACATGCTTGTCAGGTCACTCCGCGGTACTGCTCTGTTGCTCCAATAAACTTTCCCTTATTGCACTTGCACTGCTCTTCTGGTGCTGGAGTCAGGACCAGAGCGAGTCTGTGTGCTTCTCCGGGCAGCAGAGGCTGCTGGACCCTCCCTGGACGCTGCCCAGAAGTGGTCCCCACTGGGGGTGTCTGGATCTGGGCGTTTCCTGCGGGGCGCTGTGAGCCATGGTGATGGCGGTGGCAGGAGGAGGGAGACTCTGCTCTGGGGTGTCTGGGAATCAGAACAAGCTGCAGTGGGTAGGGCACCCCCACTCCACTGCGCCCTGAAATGAAACTGCAAGGGGAGTGGGCACCCGGCTGCAGAGTATCAGGGGCCCGGGTGCCTGGCCTTGAGTGCACACTCCGTGGCTGTCACTCCACCTCCTGTGGCCTTTCTGAGACCCCTGCAGGGGCGACCAGGCTGTGTGAGCACCAGACACCCAGAGGTGGGGCCTCCCCGGCAGCCCTGCCCAGTGAGCCACCCAGTCCTCTCCTGTTGCAGATTGCATCTCCCTCGCTGGGGCTCCCTGCCCTGGAGGCAGCTGGCTGGGCGAGCCCAGCGGTGGGAGGGGCCTGGGAGTGCAGCCCAGGCGCCTGCCTCGGGTCATGCAGGCTTTGGAGGGGCTGTCTGCTGAGCGGCACCCCGCGCCTGCAGGGCGTCTGCAGGGCTGCACGTTTCCTCATTCCTGAGCGGCACCTACACACAGCTCTGCTGTGGGCCCCGCACTATTTAAGTTAAAGCCCGCGCACGGAGCCGTCCGAGTCACAGCCGGGAGGACAGATCCGCACCCCAGCACCCCGGCCTTGCTGCGGAAGGGACCCTCCCTTGGCCATGGCTTCTTTGGGACAGATCATCTTCTGGAGGTAGTGCATTCTTGTCTATCCTCGCAGGCGAAGGCGACGGGGTGAGGGCTGGGTGGGTGCTGAGGGCCGTGCTGCAGCCCCGCGGGCCTGCACCGGTACCCTGATCTGGCCTGGCATTGGGCAGTGACTGCATTGGGCAGTCCAGAGCCAGAGCAGACAAAGGCCCAGTTAGATTTGACTTAACATCACAGCCCAGCGCCTCTGGAGCACCAGGTTTCTGGCTGGTCTGCACGGAGGTTTGGCCCCTCCCCGGGCAGCGCCGGACAGGGGAGCCGGGTGCCAGAGGGGTCTCCGCATGGCGGCTCCCTGGCCAGGCAGCGGGACGGCCTCGGGATGCCTGGCCGGACGGAAGGGCACGAGAAGGCCAGCCCGGGGCGGGGAGGAGGCAGCAGGCTTTCACTCCTCTGTGGCCCGCTTGGTAGTGCGGGGCTGTTCCGCCTCCAGGGTGGGCTCCTGGCTTTTCTGGGGACTCCTTGGAGAGGAGACCCCCAAACACAGCTGCTGCTGAGGAAACGGACCTTGGCCAAGTAGAGCGGGCCCCACCCTGGGGGCTGGGATGTGGGTGGAGAAAGACACAGAAACCCAGGCGAAGAGCAGTGGACAGCGCATGAGTCCGCGCAGGTCAGCTGCGGCCGCCAGGGTGGGGCGGTCAGCAGACGGGGGGGGGGGTCTCAGGCCCGCGGACTCCCGAGACCCACAGAGAAGACAGCGCACAGAGAAGACAGCGCACCCTGCCGGGCGCCTCTTGTTCACCCGCTTGCGCTTGGCTCTTTCCCACTGGATCACCCCTGACCTTTGGAGAACGAAAGGATGGGGAGGGAAGGGGGCGTGACCGCAAGAGTCGTGATTCAACAGGGACACACTTCCTGCGCGTGCGTGGGAGGACGCGTGGGTTGGTCTGGGGCTGTGAAGGCCGGGCCCTTCCAGGCCACTTGTCTTTTGCAGAGAAGGAAGGAAGGGAGGGAGGGAAGGGAGAGAACCCCCAATGACCGT